ACATGACACTGTCACACTGACATTCAGCATCTGATCATAGCATTTTCCAGCACTGAGACACACTAGCCTGAATATGAAGCTATTTAAATATTTCATGCTCGTACTGTAACTCGCATGAATGCTAATGAGTAGTATGATTGTGAAGTTACTGAGGGCGATCATGACATGAAGTGTCTATACATCTACAGCAAAGAGACCAATGAGAGAACTCGGTTGTAAATATATGTGTGAGGGATTTCAAAACATTACAAGTATTTACACACAATACAATTTCTGATGCCATTTGCCTGAATTTGCTTTATGTTGGAAATATAGGCTACTGGTAAATGGCATTTATTTAGAGAAGAATGCATATGTCCAATTCAATACTTCAAACTCTCAATTTGTGAGCATTACTGGGAAAAGCAGAGCTCGTGCTTCTTAGAAATGCTATGAATGCATGTTTGAACGCTAAACACAGATTCAAATGGAAATAGACCCACCGGTGGACTGGAAGACGCCGGGGTTGCATTGGCAGTAGCGCTGGGCAAACGCCTCCATCATTCTGTCGATCTTCTGGGCCTCACCAGGAAGTCTGAAACTCCAGAGAAACTGCCTGTGTGGAGACAGCAAAACCATCATAAAATTATTCATGAGTGAATCTCAATAAGTCCAGGTCACATTTACCCTAAATCAAACTTTTATTTTATTTGATTATTTATTTATTTTTTCCAGATCAGAATGGCAGTACCATAAATATTATCATTATGTATAAATACTTTACAATTTAATTAGTTTACAGTTTCTTTTATATTACAGTAATGAGTATTTTGGCATTGCATAAGAGATTAATCTGAGTTGTCATGAAAATATCAATACAAAATATATATATATATATACAGTATATATATATATATATATATATATATATATTAAATAGTCTGATCTTTTGATTTTGGGGTGAAACATTAATCAGACATGTAGAAACCAATAAATTATATTATTGCAATAATTCTAAGCAAAAAGAAAAGCTTCTCCCACCTCAGAGCCTGAACGAGGTTGAGGTCGGCAAATTCATGGAGCTCTACGAAAGCCTGGAGCACTTTGATGTTGAATTCATCCCTACGAGAACACAACAACCACACACAGAAGAAATGGTTACTTTCTGCAAAGAAAGATCGATTGCTTGTCTTTAAAAAAAGTCGATTTTTAAGATCTTTCGAGATGTTCGGCAGCATTTGCAGGCTGCTTGGTCTGTTTGTGTCTATAGCTATGCTTCATGAAACCCTGCTGTTTTGACAAGGCACATCCCAAGAGGTGGTCCATTTCCTTCAGAGGCACACATGTTGCGTTTCAATGCTGCTGCTTTGCTCACTAAACCCAGACAATCAATTTCCGCAGGATTTTTGTGATGAATCAGGCACATATCTGAATCAGGACATACACTGAATAAACAAAGGCAAAAACTACAGGAATGAAGTAAAGGGTTACCGTTCCCCCAAGTAATCCCCGATAACAGTTTTGTTCAAGCCTTCGCCTTTATAGAGGAACTGAGCGATGTCTTCAGGGGTCTGTTGCAGGAGGTCGTTCTCCAGCAGAAACTGGATCCCCTACAAGGAATTTTATTTAGAAAATGATTTTAGGATCAACCCTATAAATGTCAAGGAAATTATGTGGAAAATATCCAAATGTAATACAGTATGTCAGGGAAAATGTCACAATGTTGATCACTCGGTACAAATACTATAAAGAAAAGGTTAAAGGCTTTAAAAACATTAAAATCCTTAGAAACTAATGAGAATTTAAGGTCTGTGAAGATTGTCAAGTATCTGGGTCATCACAGAATAGATAATAAAAATGAAGCTTACTTTTTTGGGGTCCATGTTGAATTTCTTTCTTCCCATTGCAATTTGTTTGTTTCTCTGTGTTGTTTTGCTGCAAATGGAAGTAAATATGTCTTAACAAATATCCCCTAATAAGAATGAAGGCAGACAAAGAACCTTTTGTATGATTTGCCTGCAGATACAAAGTACAACTTTAAACAAAGTACAACACTAAAAACACTCTAAGGCAGCTAAACACTTTTAAAACTGTCAAACAGTCCTGCTTATGGTCACAAGTTGTTGATTTATGAGCCTTATCTTGATATATATTTCTCTTATTTTAATTTCCCAGTGAGGTCCACTTATAATTATGTATTATTAATATTTTGTCATGTTTCTCATGTTTCTTACATAATAGCCATCGATCAAAAAAATCACCATATCCCTCACACTTACATCTTTATTTATTAAATATTTCAAAATGTTAACTACCAATAAGTGTGTAGTACTACTAGCTATGTTTAGCACAGTTTTACATGCTTATTGCATTCCGCAGATTTTCCTAAAAACTGGTGCGGAAAATGTGAAAATAATCCTATGGGTCTACTCAGGTGTTGTGGGTTTGCAGTAGTGTCAAATATAGTTTCAACTGCTGCATTCCTCAATAAGAGCCTCTTTGCAAAGTTCTGCCACATTGCGACATATTCATTAAACAATCTGCACTAAAATCAGCTGCTCACGATTAGGCTGATATGATCCGTGATATTGCTAGAAACAAACCTCAGCCATTAGTATCGAATGTTGCATCCTTCACAAAGATCTGCAGAGCCGCAGGTGCTACACAACATCATTTTTTTTTTACATACCATTACCATTTTAACTCTTATCATTCTTCTTGGGCTGGATTCACAAAACGCTTCTTAAAAAAGAAGTTAAGACAATTCGTAAGATAAATTCTTGAGAAATTCTCAAATATTTCCTTAAGAACCTTTTTTTTCTGACTGTAGGGTGTTTCTTATGGAAGTCCGTTTCCGCCACTGAATAAAAAATAAAAAAAGGTTATTGCGACTTTTTATCTCACAATTCTGACTTTTTTTCTCATAATTGCATGATACAAACTCGCAATTGCGAGACATTAAGTCGCAACTGTGAGTTATAAAGTCAGAATTGCAACTTTTTTCTCTCGCAATTGCGAGTATATCTCGCAATTCTGACTTTTTTTCTCACAATTTTGACTTTTTTTCGCAATTGCGAGTTATAAAGTCAGAATTGCGTGATATAAACTCGCAATTGCGAGTTATAATCCAATTTTGAGGGGAGGAAAAAGACTGATATGTTCTCAGAATTGCGAGTTTATATCTCACAATTCTGATTTTATAACTCGCAATTGCTTGTTATAAAGTCAAAATATAAACTATATAAATATAAACTCGCAATTCTGAGAAAAAAAGTCAGAATTGTGAGTTTATATCTCGCAGTTCTGACTTTATTTCTCAGAATTGCGAGTTTATATCTAACAGTTATGACTTTTTAACTCGCAATTGCGAGTTTATATATCGCAATTCTAAGAAAAAATGTCAGAATTATGTGATAAAAAGTCACAATTACCTTTATTATTTTTTATTCAGAGGCAGAAACAGGCTTCCATAGTTTCTTGCCGAAGTCTCACAAGAACAACTCAATCAACTCAATGGAAAACACTTCAAAGGCTATGTCTTTCTTTAGAGTGAAAATGGTTTGTCTTAGGAACAATATTTAAATTTTTAAAACAAAAGAAAATAGCAGTTAAGATGAACTGTATTTTTAAGAATATTTCATAAATCCAGCCAATTGTGTTAAAGAATATACACTTACCTAACAGCATCTATCCTATATTATCTAAGTTTGTGAACACTCAATAAGCATCAATGTCATAAAGATTGGTGTGTGTTTAAATGTACTCATCAACTTTCACCACTTTTTATCTCATAAAATCAACAACAACAAAAAATTGATTCCTTATGACATGAAACTAAAAACTAAACTCTAAACACTTTGGGTTATTAAATGCTGGATTTTCAACATCCATTTCCTCACACTGAGTCAATCCATCTTCCTGTAAGCACAATAAAAGACATAAGCACATGTCCTCTCCTCCGATGTGTGAGCAGTGATGACCTATCAACCAGGCGACACATTCTGAATAGAGCGCTGAATGAATGTTTAGAAGAGGACAGATCAGTGCGGACACTCAGACAAAACAGAGACAGGTGCAAATCTAAATGAGCTTCAGTTGGCCTGTAATGAAAAGGAAACATTTCAGTCTCTCATAACTCACCTCTCACCCACACACGTGAGCTGCTCGATTTCTGTCATCACTTCAGCGATCTCAAACTTCAGCCGCTGTAAAACAGAGGCTCACATCAAACAGAAAACTCTATACGATACTCCTATAACCCAAATTGTGCACCATTCTGCTAGCACCACCAAGATAATGGGTTTGATTCCCACCAAAAAATGTGGAACTTGAATACAGTGTAAGTTACTTTGGATGAAACTGCCTGCCAAATGCATATTAAAATGTTCAAACGCTATTTTACAAAAGAAGACCAAACAAAGTATTTTTATGCTGCATTTGATGAAGACAAATAGAGGTTATGCAGATTGCAATACCTGCTCACTTATACATTAATAATACATTAAGAATAATATATTTTCTTTTAAAAATACAAATTAATTTTTACAAATAATCTTTTGAATTTTTGTAATTAATTTTTTTGTTTTTTTAATTAAAAGTTTTATTTTTTATTAAATCAATTATATTTTATTAATTCTATTAACCAGTTTTCTTTCTTTTCAGCTACATTCTCACCTCAATATCATCAAGCAGTTCTTTTTTCCTGCGCCGTATGTTGGACAGCTCGTCTCTCTCCTCTAAGGACAGATCTTCAGGGACTGTAACAAAACACAAGGGTAGGACAGCTGTAAACGTGTTTATATGAGCACTGGTCGTCTTAACATTGAAGGGCAGCAGAGCATAAAATATTCAAATCGGCAATAACGTGGGTAAGATGTTTCCCTCAGCATTCAAACTCCAGTCATAATATCTCCAGACTCTGTATGAATTATTGGAAAAATTCTCAGCTATAAAATGAGAGATCCTCCTTAAATATTCTTCTCAGACTTCTGATGAGTATTGGCATAAAAAGAGCCAAGGTTGAATGAACAATCTGAAAAGTGAGGAGAGGCACACTCAACAGCAGGCTCCTTCGAGATCCACTTTCCTGCAGATTTCTGCTCCAAACCTAATCAAACACACCTGAACGAGCTAATCAAGGTTTGCAGGATTACTAGAAAGTTACAGGCAGGAGAGTTTGATCGAGTTTGGAGCTAAACTCAGTAGAAAAGTGAATTTTGAGAGCCAGAGTTGACCCGGCCCTGTTCTAAAGCTTCATTGGGTAGGGAAGTCAAATTCAGCTAACAGCTTCTGCATTCTTTAAAAGGCTTTAGATAAACAAAGACGGTGCACTCACATTACTTATGAATGAGAGAAACACAAAATCCAATAAGGTGGAATAATTCCCGTCCTCTAAATAAAAGAGCCGATCGCCAATTGGTAAAGTCATCGCGTCACTGCAGCTGCTGTTAGGAGCATAAAAACTGTGAGTGCCCTGAGACGGACGTTAGAACTGCAAATGTGCATTGGCTGATTCAGCCTGAAATATAAGCTTTTTTAATGCTGTGTGAGCATAAGAAATGTTTATGGGTCAGATCTGATTGCTTTTGGGGCATTGCTGATCTGAAATATGTCATTTAATTTAATCCGGATTTCCCCATTCAAGCAGATAGTGTGTGGTTTTGGATGCCTGAAATAGCTGTCTGGAGGCGTTGCAAATATGGCTGCCGAGTGAACAGACTTTCTTTGAAAGGGACTTTGATTCTTTTAGCCCACTGCAGATGTTGCCATTGACAGAGGCTTCCGCTCGGTCTTAAAGTGGTTGTTCTGTGTTGTATTTGGTTTTTCACACTATGACAATGCAAAACTACGGAGCCCCGCACATGACATGCAAGAAAAAATAAATAAATCGTGCGCACGATTTACTAATTCGTCCCCTCGATGTACTAAAACGTGCACATGATTACAATTTCGTTCCCTCGATTTGCTAAATCGTGCGCACAATTTACTAATTCGTTCTCTCGATTTATAAATCGAGGGAACGAATTAGCAAATCGTGTGCACAATTTATAAATCGAGGGAACGAATTAGTAAATCGTGCGCACAATTTATAAATCGACGGAACGAAATAGTAATTCGTGCACACGATTTAGCCTACAATTTTTTTCCTGCATGCCATGTGCAGGGCTCCGTACAAAACAAAACTTTTAAAGTATGATTATCTCTCAAAGTGTGAGACAAACTAAGTTGGTTTACTAAATGATAATAGTTGCTAGACCCCTGCCAAAAACCTCCCACTTTGACACAAACTGACATGTAAAGTGACCAACAACATTTACCGTTTTACAGTTTTTTACAATCATTCTTGCACTAATAACAGAACCTTCATGTAATTTTTCAAAACTCTAGACACAAAACTCAAAACAGTCATTATTTGTAACACAGGCTGTCCAATGTTCAAAACTTTGCATATTGCGTTCATATCTTTAAAGAAGCCTTGAATTTGCAGAAGCATTGTCTCAAAAAACTCATTTATTATGAAATATCATAGGAACATTACTGTAGATCAGCCACACACAAGCTACCCATAGTTTCACTGTGTAGTTTTTAGTACAATCATTAAATATAGTTGTTGAAAACACATGATGCAGCTTTCATTATGGTTCTACACATTCATACACCATTGTAATAGACTAGAGAGAAAAGTACAGACACTTGAATCATTACAAAATTTGAAAATGATTAATGAAACAATCAACTCACAACAGGTTTTTCAAAAAACGTTAAATTAGAAAAAAATAGATAAGAAACAAAGATAAGAAAAAACTACAGTAGGCCTACAGTAAAATGTCAACTGGATTGTTCCTCACTGCTTGTGGATTTGGCCACAGGTTCCCATCCACATCATAATGGATGTTTTTATTAGCTAAACATCTTGGAAAATCTGCATCTTCTGGCATGGCCAATACAGGCCTGACATTAGTCTCCTCCTGTGATATCATTGCATTGCATTTATGGCCTGGAGAAGAGGGGCTTGTTTGTGAGGGTGCCTATAATTGTGAACCTTCCACCTCCATGTGGAGAAAAATTCCTCAGTCGGGCTACAGTAAGCAAAGGAGAGTATGGGGTAAATACAAGGTAATAAACTGTGGATGGGCCTGAAACCATGATTGCTCTCAGTGCCGTCTCTAGGAATTCTGGGCCCATTGCACTGATTTTGCTATGGGGTCCCCTCAAAATCACATTCAGTGGGGGGTGGTCGGGCCCCCCAGCGAACATCATTCTGGGCCGCTCTCAACCTCTCCTCCATGTCATGGCCAGGTTAAAGCCTACCTTTTTCAAAAATATGAATGGTTTTCATCAGCTTCCAGCTCTATCACCCTCTAAAAAGACATTTATTGTAGGAAAAAACAAATACTAACAATGATATAGAATTTTTGGGGATTTTTTTTCTCCCAACAACAGGCATCTTGAAACTGATCATACCTGAACATACTCAGTCCTCAGTTGCTTCACTTTCATAATCTAAACATTTAATATTGTTCATCATTTTCCATAAAAACTATGCTTCAAGAGTAATGCAACAGTTATGTAGCATTTTGAGCAGTTGTATCAATTGATAGTTAGATCATTGTAATTAAATGAATAGACACTCAATGCAGATGTAATGTGTGAGTTGCATTTTGAAATAGTAATACTTTGATGTTAAGTTGTGTCATTTTGAACCGGTGATTTGGAATTTGCATTTGGAAAAAGTGTTAAGCGTTTTGAAAAATGTGCATTTTGATCCTCGGTTGTGAATTATGTGTCTAGAGTTTTGAAAAATGACATGAAGGTTCTGTTATTAGTGCAAAAATTATTGTAAAAAACCTGTATAACCTTGAGAACGCCTGCATATTCCCATTTGTTTTCAAAGATATGAGGTCATGAACCTCAAAAACTTTGTAAAACCCAGAGACTAGTTCAGAAGCATTCATTGTAGCCACCCGCCTGTGTCTGACTTCGCACAATGTCAGAGTAGCTACTACATTTTAATGTGTTTGTTAAAAAATATGTTCTGTATTGTATGAGTGTAGTATAAATGCAATAAGAATGGACTACAACCAGCATGTTGGCATTTTCATGTCACTTCCCTGCCATTCACGACTGTTAATGAAGTGTCCTTTGGATTTGCACTACAGAATCACGGCGGTCATCAAGTAGTAGGTCATCGGGAATTTGTATAGTACTAGCCAAACAAATAGGTGGTCGCAATTTCAGCAACATCTTGTCATTTAAGTGTTCAAAAGACATCAGGTAGTCCATGAATGGTCTATGTGTGTGCCGTCAAGACTGAGAGTAAGAAATAACAACAGCCATGTTGTTGCAAAGGCCCTTTCACACTAAAAGTGAAACTAATAAGCCTCCCAATTTCAAGGTGTCAGTGAATAAATGGGAAATCAAAGTAACTGGCTTTACTTGTATGAAAAAGTAACTCAGATATTTTCTTGTAAATGTAAAAATGTTACTTTTCTAGTTACTTGAAAACAGTAATCCGATTATGTAACTTGTGTTACTTGTAATGAGTTACCCCCAACAATGCTCAAATGCATACAATACATATGAAATGAATCAAATATATCCACTTCATCTGCAATGAAGTGAAAGCACAGGTAAACGTGAACTAAGTTATGTAGCAGTCAGTATGTGTAACTGACAGCATCAATACTTCATATAATGCATTATGTAGTAAAATGCTAAATGTAGTAATGCGATATCTTAAAGTCTCTGAAACACTGAAAATTAATAACTAAGAAATAAGAAGCTAAGATACTCTTTTATATGTCTGATTTTCATGTGCACTGTTTTGTGCATTATTGTCAACTACAATTATATGCCATTCAGGCCTGTGTACAATGGACTAAAAATAAATGAATATGACACAACGATATTGGACAAAAAGTATTAAAACCAAAAAATGTGTAAACGCGAACACCAGCAGTATTTGAGTTCACCATCAGGCTCCTCAGATTCTGCATGAAGATGGTTGAGATTCATTCAGCAGCCAGAGGAAGTAGGTCACTTCAGTATTTCTGCTGGAGCAGATTGTAGCGCTCGCCTGCTCTCTGCCAGCTTCCTGTATCCATTGCTTGGGAAGAGAAATCCCATCTGCATCACTCCACTAAGCTGCTTTGAATTTCATCTCCCATTTTCACTTCACATTCAGTTGTCAATTGCTAAAACCCTTTCTAGGCCAAAAAAACATGAAAAGATATTGAACATTAGTTCAAAGCTTTCTGATGGCCTGGGACGTCTATAGAGGGGTGACTGCGGCTACGGCGAACTCGGAAAACAAGGGTTCATGGAAACAATGAATGTTTTCCATAAAGACAAAAATTATGACACTAACCAAGTCCTGGCTGCACACAATGGTTTCTGGGTTCTCTTTGTCAGCGTGGATAAAGCAGCATTTATTGAGTGATCCCCCACAGGCAAACCTACGTCTACAGCACAGAAATCCTACATCATCTGAGAGAATTCCCATGCTGGAATAAAAGAGGCAAATGTCTTCGATTGTTGGCCTGTTGCACTCAGAGACAAACCCCCACTGTGTGTTAGTGAGAGCACACACAGGAAGCACGGGGTAATTTGATATCACTGTGGCTCTAATGCATTAAACATGACCTATAACCCAACAAGGGGAAAAGGAAACTTGCGTGCCAAAAAATGTGCTTTCTTAATTGTGACATTGGCATGTCAAGTGTGTGAATTTAAATACAATCATATACATCAGTTCAAGCCTAATACAGCCAGTGCATCATTAAAACCTGCATTTATTAGTGGAGTTTAATGAGGCCAGCATCACTGTACTGTAACAGCACCCTTTTCACTAGATTTGTATTGAGAAACGTTTATAAACCTGTTGCCAAAAAAAGGAAAAACTGTAACAATTCCCTGTGGTTTTACAAATATAAGTTTGATGGTTTAACGTTTGAAAATGAAGAAATTTAGAGTCAAGCAAACTGCTTGGCTATAGTATTGCCTAGTGATATTAAAAGTTGGATATATAATAATACACCATTCCTGACCTGCATACAGTACACTCACATAGTTATATATAGCCAATCTCGGGTTTGTGAATGTTTATATTGTTGCAAAAAGTGAACTATATTATTGCATAGCGCTTTAAAAAATATTTTGGGATATATAAGTATGTCCTTCTTTATCAGCATACATTCAGTCACGTATGGCAATAGATAGCAAATCTCAATTGTTTGATTGTTTGATTATCATAGCACAACTAAATTACTGCCCGGCTCTAATCTGCTATAAACATTTATATATTAATATATTAATATATTATAATATTAACATCGTGATCTTCTGTAAAGCTGCTTTGAAACTATGTTTATTGTGGAAAGTGCTATACAAAAAAATAAAAATAAATAATTAATAATAAAAAATTGACTTGGCATGGTATTGTGATTTTAGTGGAACTGTACAATTTATTAAATACTTGATTTTTTTATATTATTTTACAATAGTGTTATTATAATAGTTCTATTTTTATTGTTTTATATTATATTTAATGATAATATTTATAATACTAATAACATCTAGTGGCAACCCAGAACACCCTAGCAACCACACAGAGACACCCTGGCAACTATGGAAGCCTGTTTCTGCCACTAAATAAACATTTTAAAAAAGATCATGACTCATTGTGACTTTTTATCTCAAAATTCTGACTTTTTTTTTTTTCAGAATTGCGTGATATAAGTGAGATATAAAATCGCAATTGTGAGAGTGTATGGATACAGGACATTTCCACACTTACAAAAAACATGTAGTTCTCTATCATAGTAAGCACACAGCGCAACGTCTTCAATCTCACAGTATATGCAGTACGTACCATCACTCTCTTCCCATATCATTTGCTCTTTATGCGGCATAGTAGTCATTTCTCAAAGCAGACCACATTTGGAAACTGTCAGAAGAATGATTTCCCCATGAAAACTGAAGTATTCAGAAACAGGTGCGATGTGTGGGCTAGACTGCTTTACAGGTCCAAAAGCCTTAACCACTAAATCTGCCAAATCTGATGAAAAGATCTGGAGTTTTGTTCATTCTGGGGATGATACTCCAGCCTCTGTTATTGCCATATGTGAATCTGCACAGATCATTAGTCTGGAAAAGTCGTCTGACACAAAGAAAACATGTTATTGTGTTCTGTCTCTTTTTTTTGTTGTTGTTCAGAAAGAAAAGTTTCAGCATAAATTTTAGCGAAGAGGATATAGATCTAAGATTTATATTTTGACAGCTGCATTGAGAAATGATACATGAGTTTGACGTTATTTTTTCTTAAATATTAATGCTAAACGAGATGTTGTTTACCTGTGCAAAACAGGTGTTGTGTGTGGTTGCGAGGGGTTGATGTCCTGTGCTTTTCATAGCATGTTGTTCTAAAGTTGCTATAGGGTGTTCTGGCTTTTTAGAAAAGTAATAGCACAACAAGCCACACAAAATGGAATATCATTCATGTCTGCAGCACAAATGGTGCGGGACGGCTGAAGTACTTAGGGTTCGGAGTTTGTTTAATCACTAACTACAAGGAATTGTGATAGTGATGCTTGACTTAGCAAACACAACTAACTCCTTAAATATATGTTTGACCCTTTCCTGCCGCAAAGTTGATGTTACAATCTGCATCTCTGTTCTGTATTAATATTCCATGAAGTTTTTGTTTTTTTCACAGTGCTCCACTTGAAACAGAAGGCACATTTGAAAAACAGCAGTGCTTATCTCCTTTAGGTGCTTCTTATATTTAAGAATGAAACACAAACAAAACCTCCAAGTTGATTGAATTCACCCACTCCACACGTAACTCAATAAAACCTCACTCCAGAAGAAACACAATGCCTTATTCATCGCCTGCATTTCACACTGACATCTTGAGTCCTTTTCAAAAATGGTTTTAAAAAGAAAGCTTCCTTTTCATTTAGCAGATGAGAAAATATCCTGATGCCCCTATTTTTTAACTCATCCTCTGTCATACTCCTGTTCACAAATTAGATTAGTATTTTTGGCAGAGGCTCTGTGCTGTTTCTCATAACAAAGATGCTGCATACATGCAACATGAGCAGTTTTTAATCTAAATTAGATTGTATAATTTCGAAATTTGAGGCAAAAACAGAATGGTTTGACTTCAGTTTTGTGAAACTATACATAAAAAATATCTGCATGAAACCACGGAGGTGAATGAGACGCAGATTCACTCTCTGCCAGCAGGTGGTGCTTAAACGTTTTCCTTGGTTTCCGCTGTAAACAAAGCAGCGCTGCACTTATGAACTTTAATATGCATTATACAGAAGCAAGATGCATTCATATAAACTCCTACCCGTAACTGAATCGCGATTCGTTTAGCATCTCAACCAATTTGAATCGTCACATATTTTAATCGATTTTCAACTGGTTAATCGTTACATCCCTACAAATTAACTAACTAAATCTAAGGCTGCATCCGAAAACGTAGGCAGCTGACTTGCTGCCTCGCTGCAGTATGAGGCAATGACTTTGCAGGCAGCGTTTTCGCACGAAGGCACCTCATGAAACTGATTTTGGACAGGCTTCTGAGGCTCTGCCTTCTTGCCTTAGAATGCTGCCTCCGAAGGCAGCATTTTAGAGTTTTCGGACGCAGCCAATGCCATTTTAACATCGGTCTTTCCATTCATGCTCATTCAGATGCATATTGCACCTGATTGGAAAATTAAAACAATTTCAGGGCATAAGGAAGTAAAGTCATGATAACAAAGTAGCAGACTGCAAATTTTTATTAGTGGCAAAAAATCGAAATATCTATCAGTTTATTCCAGTTTGTATTAAAATGTAAATAAGATTTCAGATTTAGTCCACAGATTAGAGTTTAGAGAATACTGTGTTGATTTCAATGAGGATGACTGCACTGCAATGAGTATGTAGACGAAAACACAAGGGTTAGCAAAGTAATATAATCAGATTACTTTTTGATACTTTTAGATTACTTTTGACCTAACTTGTTTATCACATTGATTTAAATAGGATAATCGATATCAACTTTGATTGAGGAACACATATTCACTAGTTTCCCTCAATAAACTCCTTATTAGCTGCTTATTAATAGTTAGTAAGATAGTTGTTAAGTTTAGTTATGATGTAGGATTAAGGGATCTAAAATATGCTCATGCTGAATAAGACATTAATATGTTCTTTATACGTACTAATAAACAGCCAATATGCTATTAAAGGGATAGTTCACCCAAAAATGAAAATTTGATGTTTATCTGCTTATCCCCAGGGCATCTGTTCAACTGTCTTTGGGCGCGCGCACGGCATCCGGTGCGTGAGGTGTGTACGCGCTCTGGCGTAGTTTACGTTAATGGGTGTGTTGATATCCAGCCAAAGAGCAATCAACCATAACTTCAGGCGAGCAGGCTCAGAAGTTGGGAATACGTGGAAAGTCACCACTCCCGAATGAGTTCGCGCGAGAGAACGTAATCTTTTAGTTTTAAGTCGGTTTGAACAATCCGGATAAGCACAAGTAAGTACCATTTTGATTAGCCATCGTACCTACAATGACTGTGCACTGTGTAAACAATGAGTGACGTATACGCACATCAAATTTTCATTTTTGGGTGAACTATCCCTTTAATATGCATTCTAGTAAGCAACTAGTTAATAGTGAGAATTGGTCCTTAAAATGAAGTGTTACTCGATAATCTCGTACCATATTTATATAAAAATACTAAGAGAAAGAAAACACATTCTGTTCGTTGTTATTAACAATGTGAAGTGTATTAAACAAAATTACATTACATTCAGGTTGCCTAAACTGGGGTTTGTATAGGAACTGCAGCAGGTTTGCGAGTTTAATGAAAAGCTAATAATTAATCATAAAAATGTCAAATTAAATCATTTTAAAATAACAACAATCAAAGTAATCAAAATATGTACTTGTGTAATCAATCAAAAGGAACTGTACATTTGATTACGAGTATTTTAAAATGTAATACAATCTAATTACAAGTACAAGTACAATTTTTGGAATCTGATTATTTAATCCAGATTAGATGTAATCAGTTACTATCCAGCACCGTACCTCTCAAATAGAAATGAACTGTGGTTGGTTGATTTATATGTAAAATAATCTTTTCCTGTCTAAGTAGGCACTCCTTGGCCAGAATAACCAGCAAAAAGGACCAGACTTTAAGTCAATAGTCATACGCCTGCCTACACAAGACTAAGTTCAGAGGGACCTCAGTTCTACCTGCCTGGATACCATCTAACCTTGCTGTGCCTCAATTTTTAATCTATTAAATACAGTGGCTCTCAATGATAATAATATTTCTGAGTGACACCATTAAATCCAGATTATCATCAGGATTTCCTCTCTCATCTCCTTCTATGGAATGAATCCAATCAAATATAAAATCTCCTTGTCCATAAAGGCAAATCTGAGGTGCAGTGTGATATGGAGCATCAGTGCCGCCCATAGGATGAGACAGTGAGACCTCTGAGGCCTGCAATGACTCAGACAGGAAATGAGTTTAGAGCTTGATTCCAGCCGTCTGATAGAGAGCCATGAATGAGACAACACGGACTGCTGGACACCTAACAGGCCTGTTTATACTGGCCCCATCTGTCCAGACACCACATCTGGATGTGAGGGTGGGGATGTACTCTGTTGTATGACAGGGGAATGCAAAGACAAAATCACTCTGTCGCATTATTATAGTTGAAACGTGGGCGACGAGCACTGAGCGTCCGGTCCTGGCAGCTCTTTATTGTGCCATAAGACATTCTTCAGTCGCTCTGACACTTGTGAACTGAATTCCTTTAGCCGGAATTTTCTTGGGACTTTGGGGTTTAATTATAAACTATGGAGAGGCCGTTGTTAGTTTAAGTTCAGCTGTGGCGATGTAAAGGAAGAGAACTGGGCCAGTGATGAGTTGTCTAAATGAAGATAATCGGAGACACATTTCAATAATCTCTAAGATGTTTTACAAATGGAAGCTCTGGGACAATAGCTGCTGTGTGGCTCCCAATGGCTTACTTGTGTAATTAATGCTACATTTTTTAATCTAATATTATTATTACAATAACATTTATTTGATTTAGTTCTCTCTCTCTCTCTCTCTCTCTCTCTCTCTCTCTCTTTTTTTTTTTTTTTTTTTTTTCCAAAAAACGAAAAACGAAAATTCAGCTTAAATTTTCGTTTTTCGTTCATGGGTGGAAAAATGAATAAACAGCTTGAATATTCGATTTCTACACGTGGGCGGCTCTTTTTTTTTTTTTTGCTTTCGTCAGAATATCAGACAAATTCAATAGTAATTACCATTACATTTTAATACTTTATACCAGGATTTCCCAAACGGGGGTTTTTGAGGTAACTGTTCAGGGAAACTGTTCAATTGAATATATATAACATTAAAATAAACAAATGGGCTGGCTGCACAATTAGTAGGCCTAAATAAAACTAAAATAGCAATATATCTTATAAAAGATTTAATTAAATAAGCATACACTAAGTTGCACTGCTTGTTTCAGACTGTGTTTTCAGAACGGCTTGATGATGAACTGCATCTCTGCAAGCGCTGTGAGTTTAGGAACTTCGTTTACATTCACACTTGCAGAATTTCTGACATTTTTGTCGACAGAAGCATTTCATCAATATTCTGCCAAAAGGATTTGACATGTTAATATGAATCATTTAATGCATAAATAATTGCATTGCAACTTGTAGTTAGTTGTGTTGGTTCTTGTAAAGAGTAAACTAAGTGTGAAAACCCTTAAAAGTATCTATTTCTTCATTCTTTGTGTCTGGATGTCTCAGACATGAAATGACATGTCATATTACAGTTCAAACTTCAATAATAATATGTGACAAAATAATGGCACTATACATTTTTTTGGCCAATTCGCGCAGCTCTCTTTATATAAATATGTTC